TCCGTAAATTTAATTAAGACGTTTGAATCAGAGTGTAAAAATGTCCAGGGCGATATTGGAAAGACGATTTTTCATACATTTTCAAATGTAATTTTAAAAAATGAAGGATTTATTGTTTTAAGAAACCTTGCTAATATTTATTCTAGTAACTTTGAAGATATTAATACTATTCATCCAGATATTTCAGGAAAATTTAAGTTTGCACCTATTCTGTGGATGTCGAAAGGAGTTTTTCTTCGTACAAGTACATACTTACTGATAGGAGACAATCATTTAATACAGATAATTTAGAAAAACATCTAATTGTTCATTCGTTTTACAATAATGTTGATTTGTAAATAAAATTAGTTAATAATTAAATAATTATTAAGTATTATATTAGGTATTGTAAAATAAAACAAATAATAAATATTAATAAACTATTTCGATCAAATAACAAATTACTCTTATTGCATAGGGGGCGTCCATTAATTACGTGAGGTGTTCAAGGGGGGGAGGGGATAAAACTAAATCTTTCTAAATCTCACTTGGGGGTGAGGGGGGTTTTCGTAAATCTTACGTAATTTTTTTTCTAGTAGAAAACGGTGTAAAATTGCGTGAAAGTAAAGTTAAATTATAGTAAAAGTATTTCTAGAATAAAATATGGAAAAATCTTATAATTATGTTTATTTATTTTTTATTAATTTCCATTTAAGTATTTATCATTTAATTTTATTAATGTGATTTTAAATAATTGCAACACTCTCAAACACTAGTCTTTGCTAGTCTTAAATAAAAGTAATGGAACATATTGTTTTTGTTTTTTTTATTTAATAATCCAACACATTTACACCCAAAACACGAATTTTGAAAAATCTCACGTGAGATTAGGGAAGGGGGGAGGGAGTTAAGGAAAATCTTACCAAATCTCGCCAGGGGGGGAGGGGGAGTCAAAAAATCCTCAAAAATACCTCACGTAATTAATGGACGCCCCCATATGCTCTGCATATTTTTCAATTTTTTACGCATATATTGAAGTATTTTGCGGCACATATATGCGCATATTTAACTACTTTTTGGGTGCATATATTCCTAGGTCTATATATCAATATATTTTAATCGATATTTTGTTACCGATATATCGAGAAAATATCGATATAGTCTCTTTGATAAATCGAAAACATTCAGACGTGCGCATAGCGTATGCGACGTTTGGTTGACGCTGACATCCAAAACGTCCCTGGGCGTGCGCATGGCTCTTTATTTCATATTTGTGTTTAGTTAAGTTGTATGAATTTGCATATTTTCAGTTTTATTTTCGGTGCCCAGAGTCCGAAGTAGTTAATAAAAATATTTGTCTGCAATAGCAACTTTTGTTTTAAGTAAAAGACTATTTTTCCAAAACTGGTTTGACAGCAACGAAAAGCCGAATCCGTTTATCTCGCAAGATATTGTCTAAATTATTATTTTTGAGTTCTCTTCCAGAAAGCTTTCAAATAATGTAGCATAAATATTTTTATATAAATATTTAAGTTCGAGTAAGTTTGGTTCGCCTATATTTAAAAAAAAATGTACTGTGTGTTTTATTAACTCTGAATAAACAAAAAAAACACATTTTAACTATTTAAAAATTATTTTTGTTTATTTCATCAAGAATATATGGATATATTCAAAATATCGATATTTTTTATTCGATATATCATATTATTCGATATATCGATATATTTTTTGATTTTGCCATCCCCGAGGCCATCCCTATTCTTAGGAAATATAGACAACCCTCTTAGACATTATGGCAATCGTTTTAGGCAATATGGTACCTGTTTGGCAAAATAGTAACCCTCTTTAACAAAATATTAGCCCTCTTTGACAAAATAGTAGTCCTCTTGGGCAATATGGTACCTCTTTGGCAAAACAGCAACCCTCTTAGGCAATGCTATAACTGATTCGATAAAATCGTTAATAATTATTTCATTTCAGATACTTACCTACCTTTTGAGGCCGAAAGGACAGCACAATGGCCATGCAGACATATATCTTTCGAGGACGAAAGAAAATCAGAATGGCCGTACAGTATACACAATATATTTCATATAAATTATAATTGCTCATATTAATATAGAGACGTACTGTAAAATGTAAGTCGTGGCAAATATTATTTCTAGATCTAAAATTATTCAATCAGTGAATGAATTATTATGTAGTAATATGATTCGCACCCTTTTTCTATTATTCATTCTGTATTAAAATCTCGAAGTGTTAACTTCGTCTATAATAACAATAAAGTGTTCATATAAAGTAAAATAAAAAGTAAAAGTGACAAATAACTGAAAATAACATAATTTCACCTTCAAATAATATTTAAAATCCTTTTATATCCAGGATAAGGAAGGTATTAACAGTGTATAGTTTTTATCTAACAGATAAAATGAAGCGTATATGCAAGCTATAGAAATGGTGACTAAAGTCGCATATATAGTGTCGGTTACTGAACATTTTCCAATATGCTTTTCACAAGTGCATGTGAAAACTACAGAGAGTTAGCATTAGGGCGACCAGGAATCGAATAATATTAGCCTTGCCAGTTTATACCCGACCGCGTTGTAACGTTGATGGGTACGATGTATGATCTATGTATAATGGATAAAGGAAAGATCATTTCTGAATGTTGATAAATGGGCTCATCACAGCGTATAAAAGACCCCGCATATATTCTGAAACTGGTATGTTGTTGTACTCAACCTAGTAACCAAAAGTGACAATGGGCCCAACTCAATCCTATGACTAGTTTTCGTTAAAGTTGAAAACTGACCAGTTTTTCGGAATTTTTATTTTCCAACTTACGAGCTAGGTTGAATTTCTGTTTCATACGCACCTTTAATATATGTTTTAGTAATATATTATTACATACGTACAATTAAAAATATTTTTAATTACAGGGTGATTCACAATTGTATGACGGTATATAGTTTTCCAAAATCTTAATAATGACGTCATGGAAGCATATGTTCAAAAAGCACTACTCAATATGGTATTTTGGCGACAAAATATTGCACAGTACACATTTCTTATACATGGTGTTTCATAGTGAGAACCACAACATAATTTATTTTTTTAAGGATTAATTCAAATTCCTGTACGTATGAATTGATTTTTGGAAAAGGTAATAGCACTAAAATATATGTATAGTTTGTTGCAATTTATAATATAAAATCGTCTCGCTTTAGACATGAAGGAATGTTGTGTATTAGCCGGAACAGGGAGGGTGCTCCCAAATGGTCTTTAAAAATTTATATTTTCTGTTTGGGGAACAAACATGATAATATTAATATTTCGTAAGAATGTTTGTCAGATTAAATTGTGCAATGAAAAAGGTTAATGACCATGAGGTATAGGAAAAAAATAATTGATGAATTGAAATTTAGTATTTGAAATCTCTCAATAATACTAAAGGTTTGATAAATAATTAATAATTTTTCAAAAAAATGCTGAGACAAGTCGATTTCTATTTTCGTATTCGGAAAAACAGATTTTCTCAATGACATTGTAATAAAAGTGTAAGGTACCTGTAGGATTAAAACATTCAATTTCAGGGTGTGCATTTTAATTAGCGGACTAAGGAAACAGGTAGTATTCACGATATACCCAACTAAAGGTAGGGTGTCGCGCACAGTGGGCGGTCCTTAAGCAACATCACTCATAGCAACTGTGCACTTCTCCATCTCGAGGAAAAAGAATATTTACATTGTGATGAAGGATGTACGGGATAGTAGTTTGGACTACCACCAACATAGAAAGTACTCTTTTTGAAAAATGATATATTTTTTGAAGAAAACTACACAAAGAAACGGTTAATAGAACTCGTGGCTTTTGTACTTTTCATAAAATAGAATATCTTCTAACAAAATCACCTTGTATATTTTAAATTTTAGAGGTAAACATATTATTAAGTGGTATTACCGAGGGTATTACCTTTTCCAAAAATCAATTCATAAGTACAGGATTATGAATTATTCCTTGAAAAAAATAATTGTATGTCGTGGTTCTCTCTATAGAACTGTACTGTATACTATTTTGTCGTCAAAATACCATATTGTGTAATATTTTTTAAAAATATGCTTCCCAAACGTCACAGTAAAATTAGTGCAAAAAAAGTACCGTGATACATTTGTGAATCACCCTGTAACTAAAAATATTTTTAATTGTACGTATATACTAATGTATTACTAAAACATGTAGTAAACGTGTGTATGCAACATATATTCAATCTAGCTCGTGAGTTTGAAAATAAAAATTCCGAAAAACTAGGCAATTTTCAACTTTAATATCAAAGACTAGTCATAGAACATAGTTAGGCCCATTGACACTTTGGGTTACTAGGTTGAGTGTAACAACATACCAAAATTTCAGAAATTTTAACCAGTCGCCACTTTACATAAGGAAAGTGCGGGGGATAATGGATTATTAAGTTTCAAACCTACAGATGAATTGATAAAATTTATGACATCTTTAAAAATGTATGGACAAAAACAATTGGAAGATCAAAATGAGAAAGGATTTTTAATTATTTTAAACATAGTATTTTTTTTAAGGTAATAGTTCCACTAGTCTCTTTAGTCAATTTTATTAATATACGAGGAGTGTTCAATATATATTGAATCTCAATAATTGCTCAGATTCTATAAACCTATAAAGGCGAGTATAAAGGTTATTAGTGGAAGAAGAAAAACAACACGTTGAGACGACTTGAAAGAAAAAATATCGAACTTATCAGAAATAAAAAATTTAAAAAGGAAAAAAAAAAAATAATAAATTATGTCAACATTTGTATTTTGAAATGTAAGTAATAACTAATAACATAAACAAAACTTTGCTTGTCAAAAACCGGCTAAAATGTATTAGGTTTTATTTTTATTTGACTACATCATAATTTCAGTTTAATCATCAACTTTGAATGTACGTTTGCTAATTAAAATCTTTCAATTCTATGGAAATAGAGAAAAAACAGAATAAACACTTACCAAGCGTTCCTGTGCGCCGAATTCTGCTGTTGCATCCCCCTCAGCTGGACGCGCACCTCCCCCAAAAAAACGTCGTCGCCGATGCCGGGCGTGTCGTGCCACATCGACACGTGCAATTCGCAAATTTCCGCGTCCCCCTCGCACATTGTGTCCTTACCGTCGTAATTCGAAAACGCGAATATCTCGTCGAATTGCGGACTCGTCGTTTTTTTCCGCACTTTCGTCCTTTTCGATACGCTCTTACCGTTCGTATACGTTACGCACACCAACGCGTACGGATCGCACGAGCCGTTCTTCAGCGTCAGGTCCAGGCATCGCACCACCTAAACCAAACCACAAACATCATCGTTAATTTTTATTTACATCAGGAGAAGCAAAGTAAGAGGGAACATTTGAAATTAATCTCAGTTCTATTAAAGGGAATATGTGTCGACAACCCGCGACCCGCCTCTGGAATTCTAGAGCAATTATACCTAAATTACGCATTTTGGAGTAGTTCGTATGTCAGGTTGTGTGGTTAAAGGTTCAAGATAGAATGTTATCAAGCGAAAGTAAAGGGCAAGAGGTTAACCGATCAGAATTTACAAAAAAAAAATCTAAGAATCTGTATCATAAACTAATGCCGACTTGAATGAATAATTATCAAAAATTATGGATTCTAACAGTATAATTACAGCTTCAGGACTAGACTTGGCTTGTACAAAATTACATTTGTCACTTTGTCAGCAGGATGGAGCAGACTGTCAAACCCCCAAAATTACAAGAAATTGGTTTGGTGAGCACAACGTAATATTCTTTCTTGGTTTTTTAATAGTCCTGACCTTAATGTCATAAAATGAACCAGATATTAAAAAAAAATAACAGTGAACATTACATTTGAAACATCTTCAGATCCTTACCAATAATTAAGGAACAAACTGGTTACTTGGTTGTTTTAAATAGTTCGATCTAGATAATTTAGAAAGTCAAATTTTTTCCTTACCTGTACTAGCAGCCTTCGTTTGTTCGCTTCAGCCTCGAATTTGATTTCGATATTCGCCTTACCCTGCACCTCGGAATCGGCGTCTACCGCTTTGATGGGAAACCAATGGTCCTTGTTGTTGTACGACGACAGCTGTTCCCGTCTGATCGCCACTTTCCCTAAAACTTTGTCCTGCTTCAGATGCCTGTCCCTGTCTAGGACGTAGATGGAGATGAAGCGAAAATTTCTCGGCACTTCGAATTGAAATTCTTCGCCGAAAAACGGACTGAAACAAAAGAAAATCAATTCAATACGGGGATGATTTATTAGTGCGAAAAATATTTAAAATTTCTGGTGATTTAGCGTATGAACACAAGTTTATGTTGGATTTTTATTAAAAATAATATTAAATAAAAAGAACGTCAGAATGCAGTTCTTTTTTTGCATACTTAAGCTCGGGTCACATAATGATACTAGCGACCGTTTCCCTCAAGAAAACAACTAATTCTTTGGCTACTACCGCAACAAACAATTAATTTTATACAAATGAAAACAACAGAGATAAAAAATAATTTTCAACACTCGATCTTTGGTTTTGCTTACTAAGAAGAACGTCAGCAAGCAAGCAATTTCATTAGAGATTGGTGTCAAAATCTTTGGAAAAATCTTGTGACATTTCAGCAGTATATTTATCAGAATAAATTTCTTAAAGATATCTTTATAGAAATTTCATTTTAATTAATCTTAACTTGAAACCTAAGATTGACTTTTATGGAAAATGGAACCTACTTTTACTTGCTGTAAAGCTAAACCGTTTCTAAACTTTTGTTGCATTATCTGTTTTGAAGTATTTCATTCGAGTTGTCTAGAAAGGAAAAAGAATGTAGTGAGACTTGGTGCCCATAAAATCTACTATTCAATTATTGTATGTCAGGAAAAAGCGCTCAAAGAAGAAAATAATTTGGAGGTAGAGAAAGAAGCCCCCCCCTGGAGCTGCCTTGCCCACGCGAATATGTATAGATAAAAACAACAGCATTACTAAATATAAAATAGACTATATACTGAAACTGTGGTTGATTTTAATCTAGGTGATCATTTTGGCTTGGATGTTATGCTTGGAGACATCCCATGTGCACAAAGAAAAATTAACAATGAAATAGTAACTTTTAGAGATCTTTATTTTACAAACTTAGCAAATCTTAATGCAAAACTAAATAATGAAGATTTTTTGCCCGTGTATGAGTTAGACAGAGTACTGATGATGCTTTTGAATCATTTCATATCATATTGATGTAACTTGTCCCCTTGGCAGAACAAAAAAGGTTAAAAACAATACATCAAGGCAATGGGTAAACAAAAACATTATACATACAAGTAATGATCTTAAAAATTTGTGTTGGCTTACTAAAACTTGTGACAGCTCAGAATTGTTAAGAAATTACAAATCTAAAAAAAAGATCATGTTCAATTATAAAATGTAACTAAAAAGGATCATTATCAAAAATTGTTAGAAAATAAAAATCCTCAACAAAAACAAAAAAAATTTATGGAATACAGTACACTCTATAACCGGCAAAAGCAAATCTATAAAGCTAATACAGATCAATGTTGACGACATATTAATATCTGACAAAAAAACTGTAGCTAATTGTTTTGCTGACTATTTTTCAACCATAGCTAGTAACACTGTTAGAGATAATTTTGAAAATTCCACACCTGTAATTTTGAACCAATCAAAATACGTGTTTTTGACAGATCACCATGGCAACGGAGGTATTTTAGTGGAAATTTTTTTCTCGTGAGGTACCCAACAGCGAATTATTTTGGAAATTTTTTGACGTTTACAATAACAGACCATTTTTGACAGACTGGTTTTTATTTGTTCATATAATAGGTTTAGTTTTGATACATTTTAGTTACAATGCTAAGGTGTTTTCTATATTCTTCGGCCACTTCTTTTCTTCTTAATGGCGAAAATGCAGGACTTTGGATGCTTTAAATTATGTGTCTATGTCTAATAAAATATATATAATATTTAGACACTAATTTATTCACCTTTTTCCCATTCAGCACTTTGAATTTTGCGTAGTTTAGGTGCAAATATTCGTGGACAATTCGGAACAAATTTTCGTTTTTCAAGTTGGAGCCACAATCCTCTATTAATCCGAGTAAGTAAGTCATGGTGCAATGATTGATCATTACATCAGACAATTTTACGCATATTTTGCATAGCGTATGATTTTCAAATCGATTCATTTTTAAACAAATAGGTAATTTTGTTGGTTTTACTTGCTGTGCAATATTCTTTATCGCAACAAAACGCGAGTTATTTAATGTTTTGAACTGTCAAAATACAATGATCACAGCCTCCTACGATTGATGCTTGCTGACGCTGGTTATGAATTTCATACCATTTTAAAGCGCTCATAACGCATGTTAATAAAAACGCAGAAAAACAATTTTCTACCACTTGTAGTTATTCAAAACTTACGTAAAATTAAAGAATATACTATTTTCTATTTTCAAATGGTATTCCCATGCAATTACAATGAGTAGAAATAAGCAATTTGAAGGCCTAAATAATTGCAGCGAAACATTTTTTTACGTCGGGCCGCTTGACAACTTCAAAACTGAAATTATATTCGAGGTTAGGGTCTCACTTAGTTACCATGACAACTCAACAATCAAGGCAACAACACCTTTTATGTTTCACTGGTGACTTGGAGAAAATAATTTGCATTGTTGAGAAACGAAAAATAAATTTTAAAAATATTTAATTTTCAACCATAATTCGGCGTGGAATTTTCTTACCGAATACCACGCGAGGTCAAATTAATATCAGGAAATAATTTGACCTCTAGGGGTATTACTAGTGAAAATACACATTTTCATAACTACACAACTATGCATGTAAAAAATACATTCTTCTATGATGGAACTGTTTGGGTTGATTTTTGATATGGACTGTAAAGGCCTGGTTCGACCAATTCTAACGTTAAACTGATAGTGGATTTTATTTGTTGCACTAGGTGTAAGTTTTCTGCACTAATCACATTTGATTTGTTCAGTGTAGCTTCAAATATTTGACAGTAGCACACGTGTAGCATATACTTTTGACAAGTATGACAGTTCGAATATAGTGTCTAGTGCAACAAATAAAATCCACTATCAGACAAGTACCAGCACAACTATCATTTATTTTTACTATAAACAATAAACTATTAACACAAAATTTTGATACTGTAGATTTCATTGAACTGCTCGTCCAGCTGTTGTCGAAACAAAACTTCAACTCGTACTGTCTGCTGTCGTGCTGTCTGTCTCCCCGTCGGAGCTGTACCGTCACAATCGGCGTGCATTATTGGCAGTGTGGCCACGTCTTAGAGTTTTTATTATAAATCGAACAGGAACAGATTCCCAAGAAGTAAGTGCAGTCATTAGTTCATTAAAAAATACTAATGCAGTGGATGTAGATTGCATTACAACTAAAATAATTAAATCTGTTGGTCCTTATACAGGGTGATTCATAACTATTGGGACATAGGCTAAGGGCAGGTTATTTGTACAAAAATATGATGACAGGGCCAAATACACCTTAATAAAATATTGCTGTGGAATAAGATACAGGGCGTTAAAGTTGAATTTTTTTTTTTTTTCGTTTTTTTTTTATAATGTCACTGTATATTAATGAATTGTTATCAAAATCGGCACAGAGGCATATCTTTGGACAGGGGATAATATTTTATGTATAATTTCTCATTTTGTTACGGGGGCGACACTTGAATCATTACTAATGATGAAATTAAGTGGTAGCTTTTTTTGACAAAACTTTTTAGTATTTTTGATTGGAAAATATGATGTAAACGTCATTTCTACGTAATATTGGTACTATTGTTTAAACACGATAATTTTACCCGTTTTCCAGAAAAACGCAATTGAGCAGCTCACAAGTCTCAAATGGGGAGTTAAAAAAATATTTCACATATGAAAAGTGTGCTTTGGAGTGTCAGATAATTGTGTTTCGTACATGTAATTTCTTGACAGTGAATTATTTTTGCTGTTTGATTATAGTCTATTATTATTACTACTATTATTATTTATCACCCTGTATCTTATTCCACAACAATATTTTATTAAGGTATATTTGGCCCTATCGCCATATTTTGCTCCAAATAATCTGACCTTAGATTATGTCCCAATAGTTATGAATCACCCTGTATATCGGAACCAATTGCATATCTAATCAATATGTCTATAAAAAATGGCATATTTCCCAAAGAACTTAAAACTGGTTATAGTATCACCTATTTTAAAAAAAGGTGATTCAACGACTCTTGAAAATTATAAACCTATCACAGTATCTCTATAAATTTTTTGAAATGTATACATAAAAAAAAGTAATTTTTATTTAAATTTAAAATTATTACAGATCAACATGGGTTTCTTCCTGATAGGTCAACAGAAAATGCTACTACTGCCTTTTTTAATTATGTCCACAATCAGCTGGATAGAAAAAGGTTAGTGAGTGCGCTCTTTTTTGATCTATCTAAAGCTTTTGACACCATTGATATCTCAATTATTATCGGAAAATTAAGTGCTTTAGGTTTTAAGGGTAACTTTTTTGCAATTGATTAATTCCTATATAGATTCTCGAATCAATGATTGCTTATCAGAAGTAAAGGACATGGATCGCGGTGTTCCTCAGGGATCAGTATTGGATCCACTCATATTTCTCCTTTACATAAACAACTTGCTTAACTTCATATCATCCGGTCACGTTTCAATATTTTCAAACGATACCAATGTTGCTGTCGATGCAGAATCACCTGAGGAACTTCATTCCATTCAAAAGACTAATAAGATTAATTTTTAACCTATATGCTAGAAGTACCTGTAGAGATCTTTTTAAAAGATATAATATACTGACTTTTCCAGCAATATATATTCTCAAATGAGCTATATACAATAAAATAAACATCTCCAAATTTACCCGTAACTCAGACAACCATAATTATAGTACTCGTAGTGGCAATTTACTACGCATAGGGTCAGTTGGGGTAAATGTATTATGTATTATGATTTGAAAAACAGCGCTAAATCTTCGAAGCCTTTCCTTCACTTTTCATATCCGGTCAGCTCGTGATGACAGCTTAACGTGTTTCTGTATTTTCAAGATAATTTTGAGACAGTGCATTTATCGATGCCTGTTAGTTTGGTAGTGTGGCGACAATTTTTTTCTTTTGAATCCGTGTTTTTTGAGGTATTTTGTAAGGTGCAATAAGAGTT